ACAACTAAAATACAATGCTATTCAATAACATTGGATTCTTAGGCGTGATGATGACCATTTAAGTGTTCCACGAAGAGATTATTATGTTTAATATGCTTGTCACATCTCTTAGAAATGATCCTTTTGCTGTTTGAGTCACATGCACCGCCATCTCACAGAACTATGCTCATCACATTTTTATCTTTGAAAATATCATTGGGTTTGTCTTCTAAGTTAGTAAAAAAAAATTGTTAATTGCAAATAATATCAGAGGCACTGTAGACACATAGAAACTAAACTAGAAAAGTAAATGCTTGTAACTGAAACCCAAGCACAAAAATTTGTACGTCTGCAACTGTACCTCATGGTGTTTCACTAATAAAAATTTAAAAAAATAAAGAAGAAGAAATGCCTGGTTTTGCTAATATATTTATGTATTGGATGATTATATTAGCTGAAGGTTTGTATTATTATTTTTCAAATTGATAAAAAGCACTAAGTTTTATATAAGTGAACCACCTAGCTTCAAACAGCTTTTCAAATAAAAAAGATTTTCTATAGAAGTCAATTAAAAAGTCATAGTATTTGATAAAATGGGTGGTGGGAGAGGAAATTTAGCATGCAGATGGTATGAACATTATAAAATTAAATCATATTTATGATGTAGTGAGGGAAACATTTGAAAGAATCAACATTTGCTGTTTTACTGGATAGAAAGAAAATTGTATTATATTAACAGAAACTTTAAATTTTTTGTAATTCATAATAAAGCATAGCATGTAATAAGTTTTTAAATTACGTAAATTACATACTTTTAAAGTAAAAAAATTGATGTAAGGAAAACCATCTACAATATGCAGAATTTGCAACTATATTTTTCAAGGTAAAATCAAATATGATACAGGAGTTGATGATGTGGGACGGAGAAAGAAAAAATCAAGCAGGCAATTATTGCTAACAGTTAATTTCTGGATTTTAGTATTAAACAGTAAAAAGATTCAGTAGAAAAATTTGAAAGAGTGTCCTTAATAGTAATTCAAGAATAAGATAAGAAAGTTCAAAAAAATGATTCTACACTGAGCATATCTCTAGGAGCTGTCTTTTGAGTGATCTCTCAGTAAGATTATTTTACACTGGAGTGGAAATCAGGCATCCTCGCTTTTTTTACAGTGGGGAATGGGTTTGATTCACATCAAAGGTACTAAGCTGTGAGCCTCAGCCAGTATTTGAGTGCACCCCAGGCTGGATGACTGGTCTCAGTCTCTCCACTCTGGACATCAGCGGGGGCATGTTTGAAGGGTGTCCTCTCTTTACATTGCAGAAAGAGATTAGGTCCTTTCGCAAGTTTTGTTTCTCTGAATTCTGTGCTTTATTCAGTCATGCTGTTTAATATGGATTTCATTGCTTGTTATGCAAATAGAAAAATGGGAGTATCCAGATTATTTTAATATACAAAATATGTTTTCATCAGTTTACAATTGGTCTGTCATGTGGCATCAGCAGATTATCGGCCTGGATAGTTTCACAATTGTTATTGCAGTATCCATGTTTACATTCATTCTTCTCAAAGTCATTAATAAGAATCGTTTTAAAGCCCCATAGTTTAATATTAGACTTTAGAGATTCTCAAAGTCAGTAACAGCAGAAGAAAAATATGCATCATGCAGGTTCATTAGCAATTTTACAGGGCTGGAGAGATAGTTAAGATTCTTGTCTTGTGTGTAGGCAACTCTGGTTCAAGCCCTGAATTTCCAACCACCAGGACAAATCCTCTGAGCACAGAATCAATGTAAGTGCCAAACTCTGCTAGGTGTGGCTCAAAATTCCAAACTGGCCTCCAAAAGAAAAAAAATATATATATATTTATGCATGTATACTAAATGTCTATATACATGCATAAACTACATAGAGACATGTATAGATGTTGGATGAAAGGTAAATATGTGAGTTTCTCTTTTGTTAAAAGTGATTTTTAATTAAGATAAATGTCCTAAATGTAACGTCTCTATGATTTATCATATGAATAAATGTGGTGAATGCATAGAGGTAAAAAAAAAGAAATGCTAACTGCTTCTTGCTTCTTTCTTTTTAATTTTGATTTGATTGAGGAGAAAATCTTTTATCTATACCCAGTGACTGGTTCCCTAAATAGTAAGGCAGGAGAGGAAAGAGAGCAGAGCATATTTGTTAAAGGAAAAGCAGTACTTTTCCTTTGTTAATTTCTCTCTTCAACTGTACTTTGTTAATTTCTGTTCATATACGGGTTACATCAGAAAAGGCAGAGATCTGATGCATCAAACTCATTCTGTCTACCTTGAGATGCTTCCGCAAATTCGTGACAGGGCTCACTGACAGTCTAGAACTGTCCTTGGTGCTGAGTCTAAAACATCGATTTTTTAAAAATAATATTTGTATGCCTCTTGTACAATGCAAGCTATAGAGCCTGCACAAAATAATTCTTCGGAATTCAAGCTCACCTTTTAAAAGCCTTGAAATGAAATGTATGTGATTCTAACTTTAGAAACAGTCGCGTCTTGCATTTTCTCTCTTTGGCAATACTTTGCATCTGGGAAAAAAAAAAAACAACTTCTGAAATAGAGGACGTTGTTCCTCCCCAGCCAAATCTGTTAGACTTCCCTCCTCAGATCTCAGTGTTCCATTTGCATTTTTGCATTAACAGATAAGTGGAATAAAGTGCATTTATTAAAGACGATTATATTGTGAACAGCTACCGGAATAGATGCATTTTAAATAAAAGCAGCACACTTGTAACACTGAGCAAAAATTTAAATATGGATTTAAAGCTCATGTTTTAGGACAAGGGCTAGAGAGATCACAACTGTTAGGGTGCTTGCCTTGGGCCTGGACAGCCCGGGTTCCATCCCTGACAGCCAATATCAATCATCCCCAGGTCTCTGGCAGGATTACTTTTTGAGTAAAGAGTCAGGAATAACCCCTGAGTATTTCTGGGTGTGACCCAGAAACAAAGCAAGAGAACCTAAGATATTTAGTGTAATGTGTGCAGAATTTTCGTGCGAGTGTAATAGTGATCCATTTTTTAAATAAAATTTCTTCTTATATTTTGGTGAAATCATAATATGTATGCTAATAGTTTTCCCTATAAGCTATATTTTAAAAGTTAGAAATCTTTTGCTAATTTAAATATAGCATTAACTAGACTGTTTTCTACCTTTACACTAAAATGTGATTTTTTTTAGTTTATTCACTTTAATATATTAGTTTATAATTCACTCTTTTTTCTTTTTGTTCTTCACCTACTAGAACAATGCTTCCTAAACATTTTCTGATATTCAAAACAAAAGCATCAGCTGATGTATTTTGAGAAAAAAAAGATATTATTTGAAGCATGGTAGTCTTTCCTGGGTTGCCCAATGCAACATGAAAACTGTCTTATAAAATAATTATTATATTGTTTTCACTTACACTTAATATAAATGGTGTCCTGTGATCACTGCAATTATATATTCCCATTCATTTTTTAAACATTCATTTCTATGGTAGTTATTATTGTAACTTACCCTTCAGAACTTTAATTTCTGATTGGTATGAACAAAATGCTTTTGACCCATTGTGCTCTAGTTTATCATAAAACAGAGAACTTGAACCCAAAGGCACTCAGGAGAGAATTTTATCCTTTCAATGAGCCATCTCTCTATTTGCTTAGACTATTACCTGTAGCTTTATTACCAGGTAAGTTCTAATGGCTACTGTGTTACCCTGTATGTAGCTAACACACGTTTTAATTCGTGCTATTATATGACATTGTGGAACAGAATATGTTTCTATTTTTAAGACTGGTTGGTACATAACCCCTACACATATTCTTTTGCACTTTAATTTCTGTCAGTGGATGCTTAAAATTTTATTGGTGTTTGTCTGCTAAAAGGTAAAGTAGTCAGGAACTGTTTGTCTGATGGATAGAAACCGAATGTGTGAGGAAGAACAGATAAGAAAGTTAGAGGAAAAGATTTAGGAAAAGTATGTGGCTAGAGAACCTCCTTGAAATAAGGAGGGATAACCTAGAAAGGAATTGAACTGACCAAAATGTTGGTCTTAATGAATAAAAGCGACCAGTGCCTTGTTTGGAGCAATTCATTTTTGCTACTTGGTGCAGATTTAAATTTCAATGATGTATCGAATCGCTTTGGGGTTCTTTTGATTACCAGCACATTTTTGTGTGATTTTTTTTTAGTATGTATCAGATAGGGATCAAAAAATTCCAGGCTCTGCTTTCATCTTGCCTTGTATTACTAAGAATATCATAGGTGGGATGAAATACCCTTTATCATTAAAAATAATTAAAATTCAAGAACAAAATTAGAATGATTGAATTTGGATTTTCTACATTATAATTCGATATATTTTTAAACGATTGGATGAAAGCCTGTAATATTTAGCTATCTCACCTTTCTCCTCACTAGGTGAAAAGCACACTCTTTGGGGGAAACAAATCTACCTCCGTAAACCTTAAAGTGATTTGAGTTTTATGTCATTTTAAGCAATCAAGTTAAATACACATAGAGAAGGGGAATCATCCTTCAATTTATAAGATTAATCGTAAGCACTCGATTGCACAACTTTTGCTGTACTGTTTTGATTGAGTTTATGTAGTTTAGTTGCTAAATCAAATTCAGGACACCTGACAGCTCTCCTGAGGACTTGTCCCATATATGCCCAGGTACCACGCTCTTCGCTCTGATCACTCTAAAGAAAGAAGCAAGAACTGTTTCGTAGGTCACTGTACAAAGTCAATCTTCACACGGTGGTCTGCCCTCACAATATACATCTTCCAGCCAAAACCGGTTTGTAAATATGCTATAGGAGCATGACTGTGATGAACGGAAACCCCGGGGTCTAGCGCTGCCCTGAGCAGGATGGTCTTGGGACTGGCGGCCGAGCGCTGGTGTCCCGTTGCATTTGCTTCTTGTACGATATCGTGCGGTTCTAAACTCCAAAAGTCAGGCTCTGTGTCTTAGAGTATTTTTCTTTCTTTTTCGCAGCACGGAAAAGGATATGCTAGTCAATTCTACAGGACTTACCTGAAGCAGCATGATTTGCACAAAGTCGACCAACAAAAGCATCAACTTTTCAACTTCATTATCTTGGCCCTCCAGTTAGTTGCGTGTAACTGAGGCTTAGATTTCCGGCGGGATCATCGCGGCCAATGATAGGACCTAATTGCTCTCAGCAGGCCTGAGAAATGAGTTGAAATGTGCAGAACTGTAGAGACTTAGAGGCGGCTGACTTTGCCTCCTAGATCAGTGTGTGCCTGTTTACAGCACTATATATCTTTCTCTCTCCAAATGTCACTGAGCCCTTTAGATGTTTATATGCACCACGAGAAGCCAGTCATAAAGATAAAGGAAATTTGTGCATTATAAATGCAATATCACTGTTTGAAACTTGACTGTTTTATATTATTTTTGTGTGATCAAGTGTTCCCCAAACTATTCCAACTTTACAAGAGAGATTGTGATTATGTTCTTTTCACCTGTGGGTTATAAAATATGTTGTATTCTAAGGACCCACAAAATATCAAAGACATTCTGTAGTTTATACACCGTGTTGCAAAGTGTTTACTGTACTATTTCAAAGCTTCTAAATAAATATAAAATATATATATTATATTATATAATTTTCCTAAAATGTGGTACAACTCAGTTGGTTTTTAAATGGATTCATACAGTCCACATCATACAATAAAGTAAAAGGTAATTCAGGGTCCCAAAGATAAACTTACTAAGAAAATAAACAGCATTAATAGTTTCCTCATTTATTTCTCATTCAACCCTGTTTTTCCTTGTTCAAAAGAAAACGAAGCTCTAAGCTACACGATTTTGTCAAGTACTCGTAGGGAATTTTCAATGCCAAAGATAGAGCTGTCGATGTTATCTGAACACTAAACATATCCTCTCAAAATATCGAACTCTCTACATTATTTCAATTCTATGGCTTTGAATTTAGCATCATTTAAAGCTTTTATAAGGAATCTATAAATTCATCTGTATTTGTTGCTAGAAAAAAAACACTGGGTGTCTGTACATTTTGTGGTGTAAAACGTGTAACTGAAGATGCCTATTTTAAGGAATCCTTGATCATAGAACTTGCAGAGAATTTTATTTTGCATAGTTTTTCATAGTTTTATGGTTCTTACTAATGACACACGGATATACAATCTACTTAAAACTATGAAATTATAGAGGTAGATAAATATTTGAACTGGTAAAGAATCGCATTAGGCTATAAACAATCTCTAAATTTAAAACAGATTAAATCAGTTTGGAGATAGAAACATGGTAGACTATTGTTCCAGTATTATCTTACGTAGCTTAAGTGTAGTCAGAGTTTTATTAATGAGAAAATTCTTCATGAGTCAGGCTTGAAAAGTGAAGCTTGGAATTTATTTTCATGTCAATCAGGTTAATTATTAAGTTCAATGAGATGCATTTTTCTTTAGTTTACATTTTTTAACTGTTGTTTCTTATTTGTCAAAACCCAGTGAAGGGAGGCGGAAGTCATGGAATGTGGAATCATGTGCTAAACAAAAATATCCAAGGAAAAGATGTTTCATTTCCTCCCTCAGAGCCTCCAACATTGTTGTCTAAATGGTGCCAATCTCAATTGCAGACCAACTTTGAAATAGTTTCCCTCCTTTTGACCTGATCTCAGGTACAAGGATAGTGTGTAAACAGAGCTAAATTATCAAAGAGTCTAACACTTGATGCATGACACAGATCCCACAGAATTTTCTCTCATTTCGGTGGGAATTACTCCATTGGTCTTAACATTAAAACACAGACATGTATTTACAGTTCCTCAGCACACGTATTTGAGTGATCCCTTGGTGTCACTCATTGTCATCATCCTAGATATTGATCTGCCCTAATCCCAACCAATTTATATCGCAAAAGCATACGCTCAATGTCCCTGACCTTGGGGACCCTTTAAAAATCGCTGAAGCCAAGCCCTCATCTTTCACACACAAAAAGCACATTTAGTCAGTGCAGCCGTTAACATTCTTTTCAACTTTTGGCATTGCTACGTTGATATTTTGATGCCAGACAAATTTAGTAAGGAAACGTTTCTATGTAATTAAACGGAGGTGGGGCGGGACGTGTTCTATCATCGCTTTTTAAACAAGAAAACAGTTTTCTTGTTGAATCACCCTGACTTAATTAAAACCTTTCATTCATTATTTTTCAACTAAGAGGAAAAATCATTCATCCATCTGCTTATCGCATGCACGGAAAATAAGATTAATTCACTTCGTATGTATATAATATATGAGGTGAGTTGTCCATTCATTTGTTTTCAAGACACTGTATTTAATTATTTAACCCTTCATAGCTTTGTACATAATCCTTCTGGAACCAACTTCTTATCTCATATACATGTTTACTGTTTGTTTATATAGTGCAGTAGCCAGTTATATTAACTGAATTTTAGCTTTTAAATTGTATCATGAATTTACAAAAAAGAGAGCAAAACAGAATTTGTGAGACAAACAGAATTTTTAAACATAAAACACTAATGATAAGCTTATTAGTCAACTATGTATCACATCTAGAATAAATCAGAAGTTGCAACAGCGCAAGAATATGATCTTACTAAATTTCCAAAATGTTATATAATGGTGAGGGATATTATAAAAAGTAAAAATACAATGGACCAATAATTAAGGTTCACAAATAAACATTTCTTAAGCTATTATGTAAATGAATTTTGTAATAGGTCTTCCATTTAATCCTATATCCTAATGTCCAATTTTTTAATTTTATACACATCAATGAAAAATAATATCCAGAGGCTTCATATTTCACCAATAAACTGTTTCAGAAATAAAAAAAAATCAAGATTTTTATTCACTCCTTGTGGACATGTTTAGCTTTAGAGTGGTAAGAAGTCAAAATATTTTCCTGTGGAAGCATTAATGTCTTAATGTCTCAAAGGTATGTCCAATGACATATTTTTAGAAACGATTTATCCATCTATAAAGTTCTAATTTTTAACTTTTGAACATAATTTTGTGAAATCATTTAAAATCAAATACCTAAATATCAGCTGAATTACTTCACAGATATAAAATCTGTATCATTATAAGTCTGTTGTTTTTGCTGAGAAATATGATGAAAATGTGAATCTTTACTTTATGAAATATAAATGCAATGTCTATCTAACATTGCAAATAATACAATAGATGTAACATTTTAATTCCTTATTCCTCTCTTCCACCTAAGAGTGCTATAATTTGCTATCAGATTGTCTCCTGCATAGAAAAACTTCAGATTCTCCAATAAGAGGAAAACATCCTCACAATGCTCACATAAACTTTAACAAATCCATATTAACTGTAACTTTCACTTTCTAAAAGTTAATGCAGTTAAGTTAATCTCTAATAAAATGATGTGATCAGAATCTGACAAATGATCAAGCCAAGGAATAACCGTTCATTTTCCTGACTGATGACCACACTTCTGTTTGTCGTCACTTGTGTTTTTCCTTCCCTCATATTTCTCGGCGTGCATTTAATACCCGAGGAACTCAAAGGAATCGTTATGACATCAGTATACATGATATTTTTTCTGAAAATTCTATATTTTTCATATTGCCATTTCCTGGGTTCTTTATCTTTTTCCACTTCTAATTTCATAGTGCTAAATGCTTTGCACGCACTTAACATCCTTTTTATGTTCTTTTTTAACAAGGAAAAACGGAGAAAAAACAAAATTCCATATTTTTTAATGCCATGGAGTAGCAAAATTATTTTATATAGAGTTAGCACTTCAAGGATACTTCTCTACTAGGTCCGACAAAATTCTTCTCTAGTAATTTGTGAAAAACACTTGTTCCCTAGAGTATTTTTTTCCTCGTAACCCTTGGCATAGATTTAGAATATAGCATTCCCCGAGAGTGCAGAAGACTAGGTGCCGCTGAGTATTGCAGGCAATAATTTGACTAGATTCTAATACCTTTAGTGTGCATGCATGGATTTCTAATCATTGTTATTTTTTAAGTATTTGTAAAACCAGGAAAAAAAGGCTTTTATTTCTTAAAAAAACAAACAAAACAAAACAAAAACCTTGTCACACGCTTAGTTTAAAACACTCCAGGTATTTTTGGGTTACGTGAAAATGCTACACCAATAATGCAGAGAAATGGTAAATTTTCACATGAGACTCAAAAATTTCTGACTGGTAAAACTCCTCAGACATGAAACCCATTTATCCATCGCTGAGCTGAAAGCAAAGCAGGGAATTTCAGCTCTAAACACATTTTCAGGACAGTTATCTGTGAGTGAAAACAGGGTATTATAATAAAAGATGAGTTTAAATCTTAACTATAGTGTTGTTACTGTGAATGCTATAATCATACATAAGTGAAATGAGTGTAAATGTAATATATTATTTTATACTGCTGTATACATATGAAATAAATAAAACTAGGATACATATTATGCCATCTTTCCATGCATGAATCTTCCACTAATGTCTGTGGGAGCTTTGAATAAAAATCAGTGGCAAAATATGGCCCTAAGTTTTAAAAGAACTAATGCTGATTTAGTAATTTTACTCTTAATATAACAGGTCTAAGGGGACATCTGTTTGAAACTGAGTCTCATTTGAAGCAACATATGCTCGGTTTAAAGGCTTTCGCTATATTTTTAGTTTTGAAAGTAGGATTTAGATTCCTATGGTTCTCATGAACCCACAATGAACATTTTAAATATACTTTTCTTTTCACCTATTATCTTCTACTTTCAGTGTTATTTCTTTGTAAGAAATCCCTAGGATCTACAAGAACTAATGTTGAGGTTGTACATAGGATATGAGTGCCTTCAAACAATAAAGGAAAAAATCTAAAAATTAAAACATTTCTTTCCTACTGAAACTTGATGGAAACGTAAGAAAGAAATAAAAGTCGTATGTGGTATTATTTTCAAGAAAAATAAGAATCAAGATACAAATCTTCTTGTACGTAAAATAATCTGGTTGAAGCTTACAGAAATTTACATTCCCAAAAGGCTGAGACAAAGTTTTCTGCGTCTTAATTCATGTGGTTATGTAACTAATTTTCTCGTGTTCAAACTACATAGTTTTAGTCATTGGTTCCCCCTTATGATGCAACAAGGGAGAGAAATAATATTTCTCTAGCTCTGAACATCTAATAAAGTCAGTCCCATGAAGGGAACATATGGATAAAATGTACAGAAATGATAACTTACAATGAAGTGATAAGAACAAGAATTATGTTGCTTTGATTCCCTTAGACCTCTGTCTTCTATCACTATTAGCCTTTCTGGGAATCATGTCATGAATTCTTCTATTTAATCAAGGTTATGAATTTTTAGAGGTAAAAATCACAAAAGAATAGATTGCAAACTTCGAGTTAGTTCTGACAAATGAGGGAAAGTAAGAATTCATGGCAAAATCTGCCTTCAACAAAATTCTGGCATGCTTTAGGAACCAAAGAAATTATAGGAAGATGTTGATTAAATGATCAAGTAATTAAATTATAAAATTTGTCACCAAAAAAACCCCACACGAGCCGTTTTGGAAAGCAACTCAATGTGTTAGGAGGATTGAACATTAAACATAAGTAAATGTCATAGGGAAATAGTAGAGTAGAAAAGTATCGAGATGCTTCATTCATGGTCGCCGCAAATCATTCCTTGTGAAACGTTTCCTCGGACACGTGTGTAAAATAGGTCGGGATGTGAAGTCTGTCTCTTATTGTGAATCATTGCTTCCAGTGCGTGAAAAGCACCGC